ACAAAGTATATCCACTAAATTAAAAAGTGGGATTTGTAGGCAAAATTACTCATACTGGAAAACGGCTTCCAGTCACTGAGTTTTAGAAAACATATCATTTTCACATAAATACCATGTTTACTCCTTCTCTTCAAAAGGTATTTTGCATCACTGTTTTAAAAATAAGTATTCTAAATTTTGCTAACTAAATACAACTAGCAACAGAAAATCTAATACATTCTGAAATTAGGCCTGAGAGAAAGAATATAACTATTCCAGGAGATTTAAAATACTTCAAGTGAAATCCTAACAATGATAGCATTTAATTATTATTGAATAATTTTGTTAATCACCTATTAAGTTCAAAATTTAGTTTGACAATTGTCACTGTCGCTCAGAAGCCTATAGCTTTTCATAGAAACCAAACATACTTACCTTCAGCCAAAAGTGAGTAGCCGTGCCAATTATAAAATATACATGTTAATATTCTGAACATATTTAAGTTTTATTACAAGGCAAACAAAAAACAAAGTGAGCTACTTTTGTGTCTGTTTATGGTGCAACCCAGGCACATCTGTTTCAGTCAAGTCTCTGCAGATTCACCATCAGATCTTTAGTAAATTCCAAAGAAAGATCATATTCTTGGCTTAGCTATGCTGAATGGAACAACAGCATATTTTAAGCAGGTTCTTCTTCCAAAAGGGTATTTCTCTCATAAGAGAGGGCAAAGCTACCAGTAATGAGAAAAGCCATTTTCAATGGGCTGAACTGCACGCTGTGTCATGTATTTTAATTCTAATTCTAATGTTAATATTAGAAGTTTATGAAATGGAAACAACTAAAATGGCATAGTCCAAGAAGGTAGTCACTAGCAATGAGGCTACTCAAACATGTATTAATTTAAATTCAAGTTCAACCTCCAGTTCCTTAGTCAGATTAGCAGCAGTGCACATGCCCAACAGCCACATGTGACCACTGGCTACTATTTCAGTACAGATAGAGAGAACTTTTCCACCATTGCAGGAAGCTTATTGGACAGCCCTGAACTAAAAAATCACTGATTACTTAGACAAAAAGATTACGGTTAATCTAAAATCCATTTATCCTCGTTACATGTACTCCCTGGGAATAAAAACTAAGTTGATGTCTGCTCTAATGTGTACAGAGAATAAAATGCAAAGTGATACATGTTAAATGGCTAGTACATCTACCCCTTGCTATTATCCTTAAATTTCAGTCAGCAAATACCCATATTATTATTCTGGGAACACAAGTTAACATAAGTTACATGGCTACTTATGAAGAAAGATCACAACTTTTAACAGAGCATAAGGCAAGGCTGGGGTCTGACGCATATTCTTGCCATAGCGAAATCTCAAATGAAAAAGAAAGGACAGGAAAATCCATTCCCAAAGTAATGAATGACTCAAAAGGCTCTACGTTTCTCCAAAAGTCTCCTTTAATATATTGGCAACTCAGAAGTCTATATTCCATGCAAATATCTTTCAAGAATGATGTAAAATAAAGCACTTCTCAAATGAAAGAAAACGAATGGTCTGTCTAGCAGAACTGTACAAGAAATGCTAAAGGAAGTCCTTTTTGTAATTGGCTTTTGTAAAAATGAAATCCTACTATACACATATTTATCAGAAATACAAAGACATAAATAGAAAAAGTGAAGTAATTATAAAACCAGAAGAGGGAAGTAAAGATGTGAGGGTGATCAAGTGTGAGCACACTGAACTGATACCCTTCAGTGCAGGACACCAACATCTAATTTTGAGAAATGAAGAAACACCAGCATGAGCACATTCCTTAGAGTTAGGGGGTTCTCACAGAAGCATCAAAAGCAAACAGATATAAAGTGTCACTCTTTAGAAGCAGACTTAGGGCTTAGGAATATGGCAGAGAAGTACTGATTTTTTCCCCCATTATATATGCCTTCTGTATAGAAGTAGATCACTACACTGCAAATATAAAGGGAAAATGGATAGAGAATAGCACGTTGGGGAAGATTAGCTCTCTTGTGTAGGATCAAGCAGCAAGGAGGTAGGCTCTCTCTATACTTCGTATGTAAATTCTATGAACATTTCTGCAGACTTGAGGTACAGTGACTCTGTGTATTGCTTCTTTTGATGCTTCCTGCATCATTCAATATTTTTCCCATAGAATCCTTCAATATTGCAAATTGAAGCTTGGATTATTTCTTCAGCCCTTTCAGCTTGAGAAATGCTGAGCAATGTCTTCCCTTTTGGTTTTCTAACTCCAAGTCTTTGCACATTTCTTTATAATACTTTACATTATTGATTTTGCAAAGGCATTTGACTATGTGGATCATAACAAACTATGGATAACACTGCAAAGAATGAGAATTCCAGAACACTTACTTGTGCTCATGTGGAACTTGTATATAGATCAAGAGACAGTTGTTCAAAAAGAACCAGGGCATACCGCATGGTTTAAAATCAAGAAACGTATATGTCAGGGTTGTGTCCTTTTACCGTACTTATTCAACATGTATGCTGAGCGAATTAATCTGAGAAGCTGGACTATATGAAGAAGAATGGCATCAGGATTAGAGGAAGACTTATTTACAACCCATGATATGCAGATAACAAAACCTTACTTGCTGAAAGTGAAGAAGACTTGAAGCACTTACTGATTAAGAGCAAAGACTACAGCCTTCAGCATGGATAATACCGAAACATAAAGACCAAATTCTCACAACTGAACCAATAAGCAACATCATAATAAATGGAGGAAAGATTGAAGTTGTCAAGGATTTCATTTTATTTGTATACAAATCCATGCCCATAAAGCAGCAGTCAACAAATCAAACAATGTATTGCACTAGACAAATGTGCTGCAAAAGACCTAAAGTGTTAAAAAGCAAAGATGTCACTTTAAGGACTAACATGCACCTGACCTAAGCTACGGTACTTTCACAGTCAGCTCATATGTGTACAGAAGCTGGACAATGAATAAGGAAGATTGTAGATCTGATGGCTTTGAATTAGTATCGGTGAAGAACATTAAATATACATACAGAGCCAGAAGAATGAATAGATCTGTCTTGTTAGAAGCACAGCCAGAATGCTCCTTAGAAGTGAGGAAGGAAGACTTGTCTTACACACTTTGGATGTATTATCAGGAAGGACCAGTCCTTGGAGAAGGACATCGTGCTTGTTAAAGCAGAAGGAGAGAAAGAGGAAAACCCTCAGCGAGATGACTGACGGTGGCTGTAGCAGCTCAAATACAGCAATGACGGTGAGGACGGCACAGGAAGGCAGTTTAACTCTCAGTGTGATTAGGGTTGCGATGAGTCAGATCCGACTCAATGGCACCTAACAATGACAGTGTCATGTGAGGTGCCGTTTCATGCATTGGGCATCACTGTCGACCAACACATAGTCCTTGCTCTTGAGGAGCTTAATGTGGCCATGCAGTTACGCAGCAGGTGCAATGACAGCGTCTGGTGGGCACTCAGTCCAGTGTTAATGTTTAAACAAAACTTCTTAAAGGAGATGACAGCTGAATTAATGTCTAAAGAATAAGTATGGGTTACCATAGAGGAGAGGCTGAGGTGATGGACATTTTATTTTAGGCAGAAGTAACAGCACAACAGGAGCCCTGGTGGAGCAATGGTTAAGCACTTGGCTGCTAACCGAAAGGTTAATGCCACCAGCTGCTCCAAAGAAAAGACCTGGAGTTCTGTTCTTATAAAGATTTCAGCCTAGGAAACCCTATGAGGCAGCTACTGTGTTATACAGGGTCACTATGAGGGGGAACCGACCTGCCGACACCCAACAACAATAGCAGACACATTTGAATTTGGTGCTGGTGAAGAACACTGACTGTACCATGGACTGCTAGAAGACAGAATAAATCTGTCTTCGAGGAAGTACAGTCAGAATGTTCCTTAGAAGCGAGAATGGTCAGATTTCATGTTTCATACTTTGGTCATGTTGTCAGAAGGAACCAGCCCCTGGAGAAGGATATCATGCTGGTTAAGTACCCACCAAAAACCTACTGCCTACTGCCATCAAGTGAATTCCAACACACAGTGACCCCCACTAGGTTTCCAAGGCTGTAAATCTTTGCAGAAGTAGACTGCCTCATCTTCCTCCCACGGAGCAGCTAGTGGGTTTGAACTGCTGACCTTCTGGTTAGCAGCCAAATGGCTTACCCAGTATACCTCCAGAGCTCCTTGGATAAGTACAGAGTCAGTGAAAAAGGAAAAGAGCCTCAATGAGATGGATTGACAGAGTGGCTCCAACAATGGGCTCAAAAATGGAAACAATTGTGAGGTTGATGCAGGACCAGGCAGTGTCTCATTCGTTATGAGTCAAAACTGACTCAGTGGCACCTAACAATAACAATAATCTTAAACAGTGTGTTATCACTAGAACAGTGCAGGGGAGTGGGAGGCAATTAGGATGGAGAGCTTTGTAAACAGGTCATGCAAAGAAGCCTGGAGCAACTTAGATGGCACATGGCACAACAAATCCCAGCAGTGTTATGGACCCGAGGGAGAGGACACTGTGGAGGAGGGCGGTACAGTAACAGTAAAAAGAGCCATGTTTTTGTTTTTCTATTTGGAACAAGACTATAATATAAGCAGCCAGAATTAATGAGTTTTCGTTAGAAGATATTCTTGGCTTGGTGATACAAGCTGGAAACTGAGAATCACTTTGTTTTACATTAATGGCAATTTATTTATCATTCCAATAGACTATAATCAACCCGAGGAAAGTCACCCCAAACAAAATATCTGACATTCACAGGCAGCCATGAATTTACATAGCCTTACACTTACATAGCACAATCTTAAATAGATTTTTGATTCTAAAATCTAGAATTTGCAGGTAGGAGCTGCAGAATTTCCAAGAAAATAATGAAAAAAAAAAAAAAAAGTTCACACTTCCCACCATCAAGGACCATATGATTTGGTTGAGGACACAGAATACCAATTCAGCTTAAAAACAACAAAATATAGTAAAGAAGGATGGAGAAAAGAAAACTTACGGGGACCACACCCATGGGAATGCCTCGGTCTCTTCTTGTGTGTACTCATCCAGCCGTTTGGGCACTCTCCGTGGCTGAGGAAGTTCCTCCACTAAATTTTTAAGAATATCTTCTGGAATATCCTACAGTAGAAGAAAAGCAATCAGCTTTTAACTTTCCTGTACATCTTCTTTAATACATCAGTGTTGAGAGGCACTGCCTTGGTCATGGTTTTTCACACGGATGAGGGTATGTTTGGGTCTGCTGCCTCCAGTGCCACTACCTTTCAATCTGTATTTTAGGTGGCTGCCAAAAAAATTTTCAAAAATGAAAATCTGCTAGAATCTTGAGTCATTCATTCAACAAACATTTATGGAGCTTCTTCCATGAACCACAAATTGTGCGAGGGCCTGAGAATATAATGCTAAACACAAAAGTCATGGCTTCTAGAGGCTTGCAATTCTTAAGAACCCACTGCTCAGTATCTGTCAGGATCAAGTTCTAACTCCTTAGCTAGAGCAGCATCCTCACTTCTAGGCCTCCTCTCTGCCTCTCATTCTCACACACACACATCTGTGGCTTCTGACTTATCAACCTCCTCACTTTTCACAGATTGGCCCAGACTCCAATCTTGGTAACTAAAGCAACTAACATTTATCACAGGCCCCAGATCCTGTTCTAAGCACTCTACAGATATTATCTCATTTAAACCTATAACAATCTTATAACCAACAAAATCCCTCAAACCTACTGCCATCAAGTTGATTGCTACTCATAGTGACCCTATTGGGTTTTCTAAGCTGTAAATCTTTATCAAAGTTGATTGCCTCATCTTCCTCCCACAAAGCAGCTGCTGAGTTTGAACTGCTGACCTTCTGGTTAGCAGCCAAATGTCTTACCTGCTACACCACCAGACCTCTTTAACAATTTTATAATGTAGGTACTATAATTAGGTCCATTTCACAGATGAGGAAACAAAGATAATAAGTAAGAAGCCCATGGCCACACAGCTAGTAAATGGTGGGGCAAGGATTCCCACCCAGGTAGTCTGCATCCATATTATGGATGCAACCATTTTGTATAGAGTCCCTGGTGATTCATTACATTTTATTAACAAAGAAAGTTAAGTATATAACACAGTATAATAATAATCAAAGAAAAAAATTCAAGTTTCTTTTTTTTAGCTGAATAAATTGGAGTAGGGACAAATGTTCTATGGTTAATCATAGAAAACAACCAACAACCCAAAGCTAAGTTATCAATCCATGATTCATAGAAGTTCTGCTACTGGTCACATCAAAAGTAATCTAAATTAATTCATACTCTTTTCATAGTTGATGAAACTACTACTGAGTCCCCTCAATTGAGCAGAATATCTGATCAGGGTTTCTTATTCTAAAGAAAGCAGTTAACAAGATAAAAAGTAGAATTTCCAGACTTGTGCGTTTTAGCCCATAGATGGCACATTCCATGGTTTAAAGTAGGAACGATGATTATTGTGGTGCACTCATTTCAAACACTCTAAATATATTTCAGAAGTTGGTTTATAAAACAACAGAAAGTAATTTACACTCATTATGTAAACACTTAATTGAACACTTAGGAAGAGTGTCCCTGCCAGTGGCCAACGGCACTTACCTCCTCTGGGAAGAGGTGCAGCCTCTGCATCATCACCCGCCTGTGCAGGTTTTTGGGCAGCATACCATAAATAGCCAGTCTAACGATCTAAAACGACACGCATGGGGCTCAGTGAGAAAGTGACTGGGGGTCTAAGGAGGCAACATCATCAGAGGCGTGAGGACAATGTGAAGCCTAAGACTACACATCATCAGAGGCGTGAGGACAACGTGAAGCCTAAGACTACACATGAGTACGACAGCGACAGCACTCAGCCCTACACAGATTTAGGGCAGTAACAGAAAATGCAATTTTTCACTTTGTACATTACTGTTTTCTTCAGGCTCTTTTTGTTTATTGTTTTATTTAGGAAAAAAACACAAAAGGGAGAGATGAAAAATAAGCTTTGCAGTTACCAATTTTAGGTAGAACAGGAGACATTCTCCAAGTCTGTATAAGAACTCGTGGCTGCAATTCTCTTATCACAGAATGGTTAAAGTCGATTCTGGCAGAGGGTGGTGGTAGGATGGGTGGTGGAGGAAGCAGGACTTGATCCTATTTTCTCCAGGTAGGAGATCAGGAGATTTCTAATTCATATATTAAGCCTGACCACATAGTTATGAGACTGACTCTGAAAGCCACAAATGTATAACAATGGTAATGGTTAAAATTTGTTGAAAAGACTGTGTTCTGTGGTAAGTGCATTTCATTTATCTTGTTTACAATGCTGTAAAGGAGTAATTATAATTAACCCTATTTCACTGATGAGTAAAGATTCCCAATTTCATATATGTAGTAAGCAGCGGACTAGCATTCAAACAGGCAGTCTTCCGGTCAGACACAGCACATGCAATTACACCCATAACGTTTCTCTCGATAACTTAAGAAGATAAAATCCCTTCTCCCTACTGTACCAGTTCCTGAGAGGGCAAACCACCCTTACACTGATTTACTTTTCCCCTTTTAAGGTTCCTCTCATTGTGAGTTTGAATGTGATTTTATGTATTTGCTAAGAGAAGGCCATGGAGCACCCCTGGCTCCCGTCTCCTAGGGGCTCCTGGCACAATATGTACACAAAGGCTGCAAGCTCTTCATAAAACTACTGCTGCCAGAGACTCCTGAAACCTAAATCCTTTTTTACCGTCTGTGTTCATATTCCAAGAATACAATGTGAAGTGTATTAAAGTTAAAGCCACTAAAACAATACATGTTAGAAGGGGCTGCACTCTAAGAGGATTTCTTATTCCTTTTATTTTCTAATCAAATGTTTACAGCACACAAAAGCCAATGGCATGCCGTTTATATTTCCCATCTGTTTTCTATGTTAGTTTTAAAACTTTTATGTTCTGGAGATTTACTGAAGTTTAGACTGACATTGTTAAAATTAAATACAATTAAAAATTCAGTTCCTCAGTCACAGCAGCCACTTTTCAGGTGCTCAATAGCCACCCCGTAACCAGTGGCTAACACTTGACAGTGTAGACACAGAACATTTCTATTATCACACAATTTCTACTGAAAACCAGATTTCCAAATTACTCTCTACCATATTAATGTTGTAAAGGTCCCAAGTAGAAACTGACCATGTTAACACTACTCAGCATCTTTTCTGGATGTCATTAAATCCCCTGCCTATGACTGTGGAAGCATCGCATTAGGTTACACAGCATTTGGTTTTCATGTTGTTAGACAAATTTAGTTGTATTCGCTTGAATTACAAAGTAATTCTTTTTAAAATTTGCCCTATTAAAAAAATACAACCATAACACTCAAACAAAAGCTGAAAAATGTGAAAATGTTATTATTTAATGGGGAGGAAAAAGATGACACAAATATGTATACAGAAAACATGTGACACAACATGTACATGCAATTTTAGCTCTACAGATGCAAGCATAAACCTGAAGAACTCAGAAAGTGGGAAAGACAGAAACCCTCCCCAACCCAACTGTCCCCCTCAAAACAATCGATTGCCGGGCAGTCAATTCTGACTCATAGTGACCCTATAAAACAGAGCAGAACTGCCCCTAGGGGTTCCAAAGCTGTAAATCTTTTGCAAGCAGACTGCTATATTTTTCTCCCATGGAGCAGCTGGTAGGTTTGAACCACTGACTTTTCTGTTAGCATCTGAGCACTTAACCACTATGCCACCAGGGCTTCTCACAGATAGAATAAGGTAAGGTAATAAATGTTAAAGATCTTCCTTGTACAGTTTGTGGCACAGGGCATGTGCCATTTGTCTCATGCAAAATAACCTCACCAACTGTACGAAGGGGAAAAAGCAACTCCGTTAGAAGAAAAATATGAAGAGAAAACCCTTAATGTAACTGAAATATATGACAGAGTGGATAAAGTTATAAGGGAAAGGCTGGCTAAAAAAAAAAAAAAAAAGAAAGAAAAGAAAGGCTGGCTCAATAGGTTTATTTGAGATTAGAATTAACCAACTTCTGTGTAATGAAAGTAAGTAGACCCTCAATGAGACAGACTGACACAGTGGCCTGAAACAATGTGGACGGTGCGGGTCGAGCAGCGCCTCTTTCTGTTGCATACAGAGTCACTAGGCATTGGAACTAAGCTGATGGCACCTAACAACAACAACAACAATGGAATTATGAAAAAAATGCTACTCAATAACTTACAATAAATATATTTACTGTTTTTTACAAATAGTACTCCAAGACTATACCGATTATCAGAAGGCTGTATTATGAAACAAATCCTCCTGCAAGCTGCATCACCAAAGACTGATTAACAGCAAGTTATGTCTGTTGGCAAAAGGGGTGCTGTCGCAGACAAACAGTGTTTGAACTGGAAGTAAAATAACTGACTGACAGTGACCCTATAAAACAGGGTCACTATGAGCTCTTCCTTAACAATTCTTTCTTTTTAAAATAAAAAGTCAAATTAAGACTTTAAAAAATTAAGATCTTTTAATGTGGGAATCATTCAAATGAACTCAAGAATGAAATACTTTCTAAGTTTTAAGCAAACATTTTATAATACCTTAAAATCTCTGTTCATAAAAAATAATTTGAAATTACCGAACAAATGTTATCTGATGCCAAATTCTTAATATTAGAAAGCTGAGCCACACTGCCTCCCAGTGTACACTCAACATACCTGAATAAAATACAACTAATACTTAATTTTAGAAACACTCAAAATATTTATAACATATTAAGTAAAATCATAACTTATAACAGTTATGGAACATGTTATCAGAAGCCCTTACAACTTTGTAATACCATTATATGCAAACCATCTTAATAGTCAAAATAGGATACTTCGTTTGATCTTTCATAGTTGAAAAATACACATTTAATGAAAGCATTAAATGTAATTTGTGAAACAGCATTAAATATTTTCTTATGAAGTGAGCATGGCTTTGTAAAATAGATATGATGTACAAAAATAAGAATGACTAATAAAGCATGACACTTCCAGATGCATGAAGCTTTATCACAGGCATGCATCGGAGATATCGTGAGTTCCATTCCAGACCACCACAATAAAGTGACAATTGCAATAAAGCAAGTCAACATGCATTTTTTGGCTTCATGGTGCATATAAAAGTTATGTTTACACTCTACTGTAGTCTATTACATGTGTAACAGCATTGTGAAAAAGTTTAAAATAGTGTGAGACTTGCTAAAATGTGACACAGAGACATGAAATGACCACATGCTGTTAGGAAAATGGTGTCAACAGAGTTGCCCAATGCAGAGTTACTACAAACCTTCCCTTTGTAAAAAAACTCAGCATCTGTGAAGTACAATACAGCACAGCACAAAACATGAGGTGTGACTGTACAAGAAAATGTTTCCTCTTTTTTTACCAAGACAATTTTAGGTTGCATTCTGGCAATAGATATTTTTTACTTATCACTTTATGGAGATAAAAAAGGATATCTTCACAGTCTAATATTTGCTCTTTTGAAAATGTATTAATGTAACAAGCTGAAGTATTCCCATTGGGGGAAATGTTATCCATCCTGTGAGGTATATATCTGAAGGAACGCTAGTGGAGCAGTGGTGAATCACTCAGGTGCTAACTGAAAGGTTGATGGTTCAAACCCATAGCTGCTCTGCAGGAGAAAAGACCAGGAGATCTGCTCTCATGAAGATCATAGCCTAGGAATCCCTACGGGACAGTTCTACTTTGTCTTATAGCAGCATCACTATGAACTGGAATTGACTCAATGGCAATGGGTTTGGTTTTGGTTATCAAGAGCTAAGGAAAGATAAGTAACATTACAAAACAACAATGAGATTTTGCTTTTAGCAACACTGAAAACTAATACGTACTAGAAATTTATCCTAGTACAGAACTCAAATGGTAAATTAATAAACATTAGTAAAGTGAATAAATGTTTTAAATAATTTCTTGAAAAGCATGGAAACAACTAGAGGCCAGAACTGAGAAAGAACCAGAGGGAAAAGAAAGAACTCGAGTTGGCATCAGCTTACTGAAGATCATACGAGGCATAGGTTTAAAGGACCACTGCCTTGGGGACAGGATCAAAGACTCCCTGTCATAAACCTGGGATCTTCTCCAAAAGGCAACACCCAGTTTATAGGGTAAGAAAATTAAAAAAAAAAAGAAAAAGTCTCCAGATCTGTTTTAAGGATTGAAGTGTGCCTCCCAAAAACGTGTGTTGTACATCCTAACCTCTACACCTGTGGCAAAGGAGTCCTTGTGGCAAAGCGGTGAAGCACCTGGCCGCTAACTGAAAGGCTGGCAGTTTGAACCCAGCAGTCACTTTGTAGGAGGAAGATGTGGGAGTCTGCTTTCATCAGGAAGATAGCCTCGGCGTCCTATAGTGGCACTATGAGCGGGCGTTTGACTTGATAGCAAGCGGCTTGATTTTGGTTCGGTATACCTGTCTTTATAATCCCATTTGGGCATGGGTTTTCTTTGTTATGTTAATGAAGGAACACCAGTGTGGTGTCTGTCTTAAGTCAATCTCTCTTGAGACATAAAAGTACAGATTAAGCAAGCAACCGCAAACAGAGGGGAAGACAGATAACACATGATTCCCTAGGAGGTAGAAGGTAAGGGACAGGACCCTCCCCAAGAGTGGAAAGAGGGAGAAAGCCTTCCCCTGGAGCAGGTGCCCCAAATTTGGACTTCTAGCTTTCTAAGCTGTGAGAAAATAAATTCCTCTTCATTAAAGCCACCCACTTGGTGGTATTTCTGTTCTATCAGCACTAGATAACTGAGATAGTCGGCTAACTATGGGCATGACCTCACAAAGCTGTGGTGCCCAACATTCACCTTTCTTAGAGAGATCAAAATGCTGTAAGTTAAAAGTTCAAAGAGATCTTAGGTTGGTATAGCCCCAAGCACCTGCCAGAAGAAAGTGAATCTTTTCTGAAGGAATTCACTTTTAACCTAAGTCTCAAAGAATTTCCACAAATGAAATTCCAAGGTACACGAACTTACTGGGCAGAAACAGTAAACTGCAGACCTACAAAGACCACAAATATTAGGATCAGATACAAATGTTAAGAATTCTGTTTAACACACTTAAAGAAATGTAAGAGGGAACTGAACTATGTCAAAGGAACAGGAGATTATCAAAACTCATCAGCAAAATTTAAAAAGAACCACATATGTCTCTTCAAAGAAAGCTTCTTATTCAATTATGCAGTGTCAACAAATTAAAAAGAAAGGCATAATTCTTTGACTAAAAGGCAAAGAAAATGAATAGTGATGAGAAAATACACAGTATTGAATGATAATGCAATAATACTTATTAATACTTGTGTGACATGGCTAAGGTGAAGAATTTGTAGCTCAGAATGCTAACTACAATAGAACAGGAAAACTGAAAAAACAGTATCTGAATCAGTCTTTCTACAGATGATAAAGAATGAAAAAAAACACCATAGACGTACTGCCACTGGATCCTTCTTGTGAAGCTGAGCAGCTGTTACTTGTCTAAATCCACCTGGATAGCTGTTAGAAGAAGCCAAAACAGGAAATCAGGAAGAGGCTACTGCACAGTGTTCTCTAAACATCTCTTATCTTTTAAATTTTTATTGTGATTTAGATGAAGGTTTACAAAGCAAATTCACTTCCATATAGCATTTCACATACACTGTCTCATGGCACTGACTGCAATTTCCCACAATGCAACAGCTCCCCTCCTACTTTTTCCCCATAGTTTACCTCTTCCCTGTGTCCTTCCCTTCCATCCACTCCTGCCTCCCGAGCTGGGCACACACAGCCCTTCTCTCCTCCCATGACTGCTCTCTCCAAGGAATGTATCTACCTATGTAAATGTTCAGCTCATATGCCTGTCTTTTGTTTGGTTAGAAGCCACAGGAGTGGGTTCAAGTCCAGGCCTGAAGGGCAGCTAGGGGACTTAGTCTCAGGGGTTCCACAAGGCCCTGTCAGAGCAGCAAACCCAGTCCCCTCCCCCTTTTTTAAAATTTAATGATTTTAAATTTTTTTTCCACATTTTTCTCCCACTCTATCCAGGATCTCCAACATAGATCCCTCCGACTGGCTCACAGTGGTAGCCAGGCACCATCTAGTTCTTCTGGTCTCATAGTCACATAGGCTGAGGATCCCATGCTGTACCAGTCACTTGGACTAATTGTTTCCACATGTCCTTGATTTTCTTTATTCTTCTTTGCCTTGGATGAGGAGAGACCCATCGTTGCATCCAGATGGCCGCTTGCAAGCTTTTAAGATCCCAGTCACTACTTGCCAAAGTAGGATGTAGTATGTTTTGCCAGTTGAGCTTCATGTCCCCTGCAACCATGGTCCCAAGCCCACAGGTAATTACTTGCTCCCTCTGGGTAGTTGGCTATAGTCAAGAAGTGACTACAACCTTGTCCCCTGTCAGCTTCAGTATATACTTGGGAATTCTTACAGAACATACAGATACACTTGTAAAAATATTGTCTGCCAACTGTATACATGGTCATTGGGTGTACGCCCCCCTGCATAGACATACCTAATAGTTCAGCCTGTCCAACCATCTATCCACCTGTATAGTCATGTTTGCCTTCGCTGACAATGCAGTATTGTATTTGCAAATGGGTTCATCTTTGTTGTCTGTAACTCCCATACACTCTCTATGTCTTCCTCTTCCTCAGTGCCACTGTATTGGTCACTCACATTTGGTACATTACCCTTCCCTTCACCCAAATCAATACATGTTCCTACCTGTCTAACAGTGTTTGCTCCCCTGCTCTCCCACCCCTGGTAACTAACATATATAAACTATATATATATATAAACTATATATAAACACACATAAACCTTTCCTTGACTTTTTACAATAACAGACTAATATAATATTTGTCCTACTGTGATTGACTTATTTCACTCAGCATAATGTCCTCCAAGTTCATCCACGTTATGAGGTGTTTTGCTGACCCTATGCTATTCTTTAGGGTTATATACTATTCCACTGTGTGTATGTACCATAGTTTGCTTATTCATTCTTTTGCAGATGGGCATCTAGGTTGTTTAAACTGAACATCTCTTTCATAATAAATTATTTTTCTTATGAAATCATAATTGTTTCTAGAAATTGTGCTGTTCATGAAGTATCTTAAAAACTAAGTAACTGTAGGAAGAGTGCTGATACATTTTAGGGACTGCCATCAATATCACAAAACAAAATGTGTAAGAATTATTGAATGGAAAACCAATTTGCTCTGTAAACTTTCACCCAAATCACAATAAAAATTAAAAAAAAAAAAAAAAAGGAGACGGTCAGGCTATTCGAAATATTTCCTTAAATGGTCAACAGCCACTGTTTCGTAAAAGTTTCATGTCTTGAACATTTTCTTTGCATAACTATATTTCTATCTGAATTTTAAGTTATTCATCATTCATTCATTCACTTACTTTTGGGGTAGCTTTTTTTTGCTTGAAATTAAAAGAAAGACCAGTAAGCTGGAATAGTTCATATTCTCTGTCAAAGTAGACTTATAGTGTCTATCTGAGGCAGGCATGAGGTTTGGGCAAAATGGTGGTATACCATTTGGTTCTGAAGTCAAATTCATATTGTTTCCTTTTTGCAGCTGGTAAAAGGCCACTGAGAGCTACACAAGGTCATATCAGCTCTAAGTAGTAAAACATTTGTGTTAAGATCAACCACTATATATAAAATGGACAAATGAGATTACAAATAAAAAACATCAGGGATGATACTGGGTACATTTTGGAAACTTGGACACCCAGATCCAGGCCTAGAATCGAGGTTTTGTCAGTGGCTGCCTGTATAATTTTAGGCAACTCATCTGAATACTAATGATGTTGCCACATCTACTCACAAGGCTTTTATGAGAGTCAAATGGGGAAACTGTTTCTGAAAGTGCATAAAAAATTAAAAACAATGCACAAACACAAGGTTTCATTACCCTGAATAGAAGAATAAAGCCCAAATAATTTTTGAGGAATGGATAAAAATTTGAAAAACCAGTTGACATTGCAAAAACCTTCAATTATCTAAGTGTAATTCCGTTCATAAATTTCTCTCAAGGAGACTTGCATACATTTTAAAGAAGACTTAAGGAGTCAGCTTTAGAAGTAAAATTTAAGAATAAAATCCAAAAGTTTGCTGAGAAAGACGGGTGAATTTCAAGTTGCCATTCTTTTCCTCATTTTGTTGCGTTTCAGCTTCAGACAAAGAAGCACCTGTCTAGACGTCTATTCCTGTATGCTTTTGCTCCATGGAAAAAATGACTTTCCAACGTCTCCACTCAATAAAAATGGTCTCTATTTTTAACATTGAGATGGCAAATTCTAAAAGCACACACTAGCATTTACACTGTATGTCAGGAGTCTGGAATTTATGCTGGAAGACAGAGGTTGCTAAGGAAAAGTTCAGAATAGGGGAAAGACTCGAGTCACGCAATGCTTGGTTGACTTTGGTGAAAAAATGACTACATTTCTCCCTCTGGCCTGAGGTACCTTGGATGGAGGAGGAGAAAATTTGCTTTAAATGCTAGCCAAGAGTATTCAATTCAAATAAATTCAATAAATGCTTACTGAATGCTATTTTGCTGGGTGCTGGGCTACATAGATAAATGTGACAGGATCTTGTTCTCAAGAAAAATGACTCAGTTGTGTTGACACATTAATTTTGGAAAATGCACTTTTTTTTTCCTTTTTAAATTAGATCATTAGTATACTCAAAGTACCATATTGGAACTGCACCTCTTCCTTGAAAATGTCATCATCTTACCCAGTGTGTGAGGAATATACTTTTTGTTCCCATTTGTTTCCAGAAAATGCAATGTGTCTGGTGTTCATTATGACAACATGATCCCCGCAGTCACCTAGAGTTTAAACAAAAAAGGGAGGGAGCAAACAAGGAAATCATGAGAAACCATGACCTTAAGAAGAAGTGGCCTTGGTTATTTATAAAGCTTATCAAAGTCCAAATAAGATACTAAAAATATAAAGCAAGTCACAGTGCAACACCAAAATCCTTGAACAAATTTCTGTTCTCTTTTATATAACTTCTAAGTATAGAAAGAGTTGGCTGGCCATTGGAAAATCTCCACCATGTAAGGTAAAAGAGAATTAATAAAGATGCCAGTAACAACAATACATCTTTTAAAGGCAGATTATCACCATTCCAAGTATCTCTTCCCATTACTGTTTATGTTACTAAAGATGTTTATATTAAGGACCTCCAAGTACTAGCTACAATCCTTTCTTAGAAACAGAACAGAAAATGAAAACAATATGCATATGGATGCACACAGGTATGTTTTACTATAGGTAAATTGAAAACAAATGTAAAACATCACAACTGATTATTCTTCTCAAATTTAGAGAACAATAAAGCACTATGATCTAATGCTTAACTACTGACTCAAGGTTTTTTCCAACCAGTTAAATGTAAACTGCCACTGTCAAGTAATTGGAAACATGCATTAGATGTCTGTATGGACATCTAATAGAAAAACAAGCTTCGGAAGATTCTAGAAAAAAAAAAAAAGATTTCTAGAAAAAAAATCACTGAAAAGATATGAACTGTAAATAAGTACATTTTGTGAAAACTATAGATTACAAGTATAAAATTCTACGTGGAGCTTTGCATATGAACAGAAGCATATGCAGATAGGAGTTCATAGTCTATACAGTATACGACAAAGCCTCAAAACAAACCCACTGCCATTGAGCTGAGTCCCACTCACAGCAACCCCACTGGGTTTCCAAGGCCGTAAATCTCAAAGGAAGCAGACTGCCTCATCTTCCTCATATGCAGCAGCCAGTGAGTTTGAACTGCCTCCCTTTTCGTTAGCAGCCCAATGCCTTAACTACCAGAGCTCCTTCTATACAGGACAAGGCTGAAGGAAAAAGGATAAAATTGGTAGGTTTTCTTGGTTGGAGTGAAAGGTAATGCAGAGTGTAAGGAAACACCAGGGGACATTGCTGCTGGTTGGCTAGGAAGGGTAGTTTGATAGAATTTGGTTAATTAAGTGACTAAAGTTTCTGAAATGACACGTGATGACTACCAAGACAATTGGGTAAATGAAGCATAGAGCAAATGGAGGAAGAGAAGGTATTTATACAACCTGAAAGAACGCTGCAACCAGCTTAACTTTCATCCACACATTTCCCAGTGGAAGCAGCCAAGGCCCATTAATTGATTTGCCAAAGCTCACACACCAACGCATCTACCTAGCACCCAGTGTAGCCTCCTTCCGAGATATCAATGTGGAGGACTAATGGAGTCTTTAAACATGCCACTAAAGAGGAATTTATGTTTAAATGTTGTTTAAGCTTTGTTGCTGTTGTGTGCCATCAGTTGGTTCCATCTCCTAGTGATCCCAGAGAAGAAGTGTCCCACAGAGTCTTCTAGGCTGTAATTTTTATAGGAGAAGTACTGGTGGCACAGTGGTTAAGTACTCTGCCGCTAACCAAAAAGTTGGTGGTTTGAACTACCAGCTGCTTTGCGGGAGAAAGATGGGGAATTACAACCTTATGGAAAATGAACTTGCTCTGTAAACTGTCACCCAAATCACAATTAAAAAAAAAAAAAAAAAAAATTCACAGCCTTGGAAACCCTACTCTGTCTTATAGAGTCGTTATGAGTTGGAATCAATTTGATGGCATTATTAATTAGAAAATTTACACTTAAAATATGCATCAAATAAATATATAAATCAGAGCTCTGCTGTCTGACCAAGAGATATTCTGAAGAGAAATTTTTCAAACTAACAAAAGGTGAAGGACATTTGGTTTTGTTTCCAGTTTTTGACCATTATGAAAAAAGTTGTTACAAATATTTGTTGACAGGTTTTTGGTGAACACCAAGTTTTCATTTCTCTGGGATAAACGCCCAACACTGCAGTTGCTGTATTGCACAGTCAGCTTGCCATACTCTTGTCCAGAGCACCCAGATAACCTGGAGGACACATTTCCTTTGGTGCTTTGAGAGATTATTTTCTGGGAGTGAGCTGAAGAATAAATGTAAGATAATTAACCTTCTAAAGAGATTGATAGGTAATTTAATAGCAAGACAAGTATATTAGCTATATAACTTTAAGAAAAGCATCATAAACTCTTTCTCCTAATAAGTCCTTATAAATTTATATAAAAATATAAGGCAGAATAATAGAGATTAGATCAGATCATAATTCTAATCTCTGCTGAACGGTCTGGCACACTAGCATTCTTAACATTACCTTTTAAGAACTATGTGCATATTTTATTTTATTCCATGTAGAACAGGAGTCTTTTAAGAGTAAGAATTATTTGGAAATTCTTCACATCTTGTGAGAAAAAATTAAAAGAATGTCAATATTACCACCTCAATTTAATAAGGAAGGAAAACTTTAAAATCTTGTATAGGAACATCCACAAAACATCATAATGAAATAATTGTAGCAATAATTAATATAAAATATTCAGATATGTACTGGGAATGTTGTTGTGGTTGTTGTTATGTGCCATCGAGTTGGACCCGCCTCATAGCAACCCCTCCTTGGGTTTCTGAGGCGGTATCACTATGAAAGTACATTGCCCAACCTTCTTCCCAAGGAGTGGCTGGTTGAGTTTGAACCACCAGCCTTTTTGTTAGCAGTCAGAGGAATACAGAAGAAAAAGACAAGTTGGTGGCCTAAGGAAGTGCAGTCTATTAAGTAGATAGCATATTTTATGCATAAATGTCTAATTACTCTGTACCACAAAGCATCTTTATCAAAAAGCACAATTTTTATCATCTTCCATTTATTTATAGCTCCTTCTTCCACTTGTCTTATACTAACAAATATGTCCCACATTATTAAATGTTATGCAAAAATAATGAGTTTAAATATTAATTTAATGACATATTTTATTATTTAAATATGGCTATTCAGATCTGGTAGCATAGTGGCTAACGCACTTGACTGCTAACCAGAAGGCTGGCGGTTCAAACCCACCAGCCACTCCTTGGAAGGAAGGTTGGGCAATCCTACTTCCTTAGTGATACTGCCTCGGAAACCCAAGGAAGGGTCGCTATGAGTCGGGGTCGACTCGACGGCAAATAACAACAACAACAACAACATTCAGATTAATGGGAGCTCTGGTAGTGTCGTGTCTAAGGCATTTGACTGCTAACCAGAAGGCTAGCAGTTCAAACCCACCAGCCATTCCTTGGAAGGAAGATGGGGCAATCTACTTCCGTAGTGATACTGCCTCGGAAACCCAAGGATGGGTCACTATGAGTCAGATCCGACTCCACGGCAGTGAGGTTTTTTTTTTTTTTTTAATTCAGATTAACAGGTTTTTTTTTTTTTAAATACCCCATACAAAAATGTTACATTTTAGACATCTTATCAGATGCAGCTCTGATTAAGTACTCAGAGCAGATTCCGAGACATGTAATCATGTCAAAAAGTAAGAATTTTCTTTTAAGTCTGTGACACAGACTATAAAGTCGATGACCAGAAAGGACTCAGTGTTTACAAACCCACCAAAAATCAAATCCATGTTCAAATCTATGCAATCCGATAGGTGAATGTACCATAGTTCACCTTGAGATCCCTTTTCAGGCTCTGTTCAAGTCCAGGTGAAGTGATTTTAGCAAATTTGTATGATTCTGACAACTTTCTGATTTACAATTTAGAACTATGAGGCTCAGAGCTCATAAAAGTACATTATTTTAATAAGGAGATGGACCCCAATCTTCTAAGTTTCTGAAGTGCTAACACTATGTGAGCACAATCCTAAGCTATCCTGTGATTACTGAGCTTTTCACAACAATTTCCTTGACCGCAGTGACTACACCTTGTTGTTGGTAGGCGCTGCCGAGCAAGCTTCGATTCACAGCGATGGCAGGCACGACAGCAGGAAACATGTACAACAGAGGGGAAGCCGGCCTGGTCGGTACCACCTCACAACCACCGCTATGCTTGGGCCCACTGTTGCGCTGCTGTGACAAGCCATCTTGCTGACACTACATCTTATCCATCTTTTCATTCTCCAGGGACCAGTATTTAAAATTATTTTATTTTACTTTGTTCTTGAGAACATACACAGCACAGACATACACCAATTCAAGTTTACACATGTATAATTCAGTGAAACTGATGACATTTTCTGAGTGGTACAACCATTCTCACCCTCCTTTTCTGAGACATTTCTCTTCCATTAACATAAGTTCCCTGCTTTCAAGGTTCCTATCTAACCTCTGAGTTGCTACTGTCAATTTGATCCCGTAGAGACAGGTCATGAAAGAGCACAATGCTCAAGGAAGACATTCTTTACTGGTTAAGCAAAGCTAGGGTTTTAAGCAGACTTTAGGGCATATTTTTGGTTTAAGGTATAAAGAACACCTCAGGCCAATAGTTTCAGGGGTTCAGCCAACCTCTATGGCTCTAGAAAGTCTAGAGTCCATTATAATTTGAAATTCTGTTCTACATTTTCCCCCTTTGGATCAAGATTCTGCTACAAAATCTTTGATCAAAACATTCAGTAATGGTAGCTGGGCACCATCCAGTTCTTCTGGTCTCATGGCAAAGGAGGCAGTTGTTTATGGAGGTAATTAAACATACATACCATTAACTTCTCCTATTCCTGACTCTAAGGAGTTCTGGTGGTGCAGTGATTACAGTATATGGCTGCTAACCAAAAGGTCGGTGGTTGGAACCCACCAGAAATTCTGCAGGAAAAGTTGAGGCATTCTGCTTCCGTAAAGATTTGCAAAGGCTTGGAAACCCATGAGGCTGTTCTACTCTGTCCTAAAAAGAATCACTATGAGTCAGAATCGATTCGATAGTACTGGGTTTGATTTTTTCTTTTTTTTGGTCTATTACTGACTCTCCTTTTTCCTCAGTCTTTTGCTCCAGGTGAATAGAGACCACTTGCCATGTCTTGGATTTCCACTTGCAAGCTTTTAAGACCCCAGGCACTGTGCCAGGAACTAGTAGATAGAACAGAAGCACTAAACATGTTATTAGACCAATTAACTGGGATGGCCCATGAAACCATGACCCTAAACCTCCAAAGCAAGTAACCAAACCTCATGAGGTGTCTGGTTGTACATACTCTTTTTTTTGTCTTGTTGTAAATATATCACACATTGTACAAGTGTACAACTTATTGACAGCAATTATAATAATCAGCCATAAACTGAAACTCAGTGCTTCATAAGCAATAACCCCCCTTTTTCCCATCCCTCCTGTCTTAGTAACTACTAAGAAACTTTAAACTCTCTATATTTGCCTGTTCTTCTCTTTTTATACAAGTGAGGTCATATAGTGTTTGTCCTTTTATGAGTGATTTTTTTCACTCCGCATAATGTTTTCAAGCTCCATCCATATTGTAGCATGTATCAAGACTTCATGTCTCTTACTGGCTGAGTAGTGTCCCATTTCATGTATGTACTGCACTTTGTTTATCCATTCACCTGCTGAGAAGCATTTGTTACCACCTTTGGGCTACTGGGCTAAATGAACTTTGATACACTAGTATCTGTTTGAGTTTCTGCTTTCAAGTCTGTTAGGTATATCCTCGGGAGTAGAGTTGTTCATATGATAGTTCTATTTTTAGTTTTTTGAGGAATAACCACACTGTTTCCCAAAGTGGCTGTAACATTTTATATTTCCACTAGTAATGGATGAAAAAACAAAACAAAAAAATAAAACCAAACCCGCTGCCATTGCGTCGATTCTGATATGTAGTGATCCTAAAGGACTGGATAGAACTGTCCCACAGGGTTTCAAGACTGTAAATCGTTAAAGAAACAGACTGCCTCATCTTTCTCTCATGGGTTAGAATCACTGACCTTCTGGTTAGCAGCTGAGTGCTTAGAACCAGTGCACCACCAGAGTTCTTCAGTAATGGACAATGTTTCTAATTACATCCTTGCCCACATTTGTTATGTTCTGATTTTTTTTTTTTTATCTTAGCCATCCTAGTGGGAGTAAAATGGCATCTCACTGTGGTTCTGACTTGCATCTCTCTGATGGCTAATGATGCTGAGCATCTTCTCATGTGTTTGGTGGCCAGTTGATTCTTCACACACAGTCAATACTCCACAAATGTTCACTAAACCAAACCAAGCTCACTGCCATCGAGTCGACTCATAGCGAACCCCGCTGGATTTCTGAGCTGGTAAATCTTTATGGAAGTAGTCTTCCTTCCACAGAGTGACTGGTGGGTTTGAACTGCTAACCTTCGGGTTAGCAATCAAATGCCTTAGATACTATGCTACCCGAGCTCCTTCTATAAATGTTTAGAACACTAAATTGTTACCAGTGAGTTTTAAGTGTTATAAAGTAGACTTAACCATCAACCTGAAAATGTTATATGGTAAGAAATTAAGAATTTCTAGGAGAATTTGCCTTTTCTAATTTTTTGCCCATCAGAGAAACTTAAAATGAGAAACAGGAGTCACATGACTGTTTGGTGTTCTGAGGGATACTTACTCATCAGCACATAAGGAAAACATTTGCAAAAATAACCTGCTTATAAGAAGGTAGCACTTTGATAGGAAGTGCTATATTTGAAGAAAGAAGTTCGTTTCATTCACCTATTAATATTTGCATTAAATCTTTCCTTTATATTCTATCATTATCAAGTATTTTACAACCCATAAGAAGCTGTTCTCACTGGATAAACTTTGCCAAAATGTTCATTTTTATTTAAAGTTGCATTTAATAACAATTCTAGAATTCTGACGTCATCAGAATCTAATATAATGTTATTAAACCTATCCTGTTCCAAAATTCTTTAGGTCAGGCTAAAGAAAGCTCCCCCCAGCTTCCTCTAGATGCATTTGTAGTTCTCCTCCACTAATTAATTCCTGGGCAGTAACAGGAGTGGGTCCTCATGAAGAACGGCCACACTCCTCAAGGTACCAGGTACCCTTTCTTCTCAGGTATCAGTGAAAAAAAACATGTTCAAAGAGCCCCCAAGTCCTAAATTCTGGAGGGCAGCTCTGACTACAAGATTATAAAAAATAATTTTATAAATGAGAGGTTGTTTTTCCAGAACATTTCACAAACGTCCATTTAACAAAGTTGTCTAAACATTCTATATGATTTGTTCAGATACCTTATGGGTTAATGATTAACATTTATACAATTCCTGGAAATATAAGCACCAATGATAATACTATTTTTTCGGGAGCATGTCAGTCAATTTCGAATAAATGTGTTTACAATGATTATCAGCATATGCTACTTACTTAAAAAAATGTTTGTTAAACCAATAGAAATAGATTCTTAAAATACAACATACTTGTAAGTTGAAACTGCTTGTAATGTTAAGTCTGATTTTAGTGACACCTTGTGGACATGAGTTTTGCTACTGTTAGTTACACATTAAATATAAAAACCAAAACCAACTCCTAGTGACCCTGCAGAGCAGAACCGTCCTGTAGGGTTTCCATGGCTGTGATCTTTAGGGAAGCAGACTGCCACATCTCTTTCCCATGGAGCGGCTGGGGGTTTGAAACGTCGACCATTCAGTCAGCAGCCAAACATTCTAACCATTGTGGCACTAGGGCTCCTTCATATTAAATACAGTGAAACAAAAATGCAATCCAGTCTTTCAAATGTGAGCTTCTAATTTTGTAAAACAGCTATTCTCCACTATTAGAAAAGGCTGACTTCACAGGAGTCACATGACTGTTTGGGGCTCTGAGGGATACTTACTCATCAGCACGTAAGGAATAAGTTTGCAAAAATAACCTGCTTGTAAGAAGGTAGCACTTCAATGGACAGGTAAGTGCTATATTAGAATAAAGAAGTTAGGTGACTACTACTAATTCCACTTTCCCTTGAATTTTGTACAATTTGCATTTCTATAAAGACAGCCTGAGAGATCTTGTTCATTACTTTGCTGATACTACTACTGTTAGGGAAAGCACAGATAAGCAGGAAAGCCAACACAGTGTAACTAGGCTAAGAATCAGCACAGTGAGGGAACGGGTCCTAGATGGGGAAGCAGGTTTTACTTTCAGCTCAAGCGTAATATCGTCGAGTGACAGTGAGAAAGTCACTTTCTCTTTCTGATGTTAGTTTTCTCATCTGTCCATTAGGGAGTTAAACAAGGTATTTAAAATCCTAGCTGATACTAAACAGTTCTATGAGTTTGCCATGACTACTGTTGATCTGCTTTAAAATATACACGTATTTATATATTCTCCTTGTGTCTTTGATATATTTCATAAAAAGTTAAATAGAATGTGATCAATTACTACCAACGCTGCTGACAGGCTGGGCAAGATGCAGATTAAGCACTGACCACAGAACATGACAGCATGGTCCGCAAAGTATACAGGTAGGGTGATCAACCGCAAGTACTTTACCCTGTAAGCAGACTCTACATGAAAACTATGGCTGTTCATGATAGACAGGTCTGAAAGGATACTCACTCAGCTGATGGTACACAGGCTTGTGTAATCCTTGGAGCTTTACTGATGCTGCAGCAGCCAGTTTGCCAGGGGGCTGCATTTTCCCATCTAAGAGATACCACACTCGAGCAAAAGTGGCCCATTGCTTCAAAATCAATGAAGAGGAAAAAAGAAAGAGAATTCTAAGTAAAAAGGAAATAAATGAGTCTATTATTATACCATCATACACATTCTACAGAAACTACCGCTACAGAAGTGTTTTTGTTTTGTTTCCATTTCTATCGCTGGAAAACCATCTTTTCTATAAAACAACTCAGCACTTGTACTGTTTCTTTCTTTCTCGTGTTACCTACTTCATTCTCTCCCACACATCGTTAGTCAGCTTTATCCCTCAGTAGTTCATATATTCTGATGCTACTGTAGATAGTACTGTATTTTCAATTTCAATCGCTATTTGTTTGTTGCTAGTTTATAGAAATTGACTTCAGTTTTGTAAAGTGATCTTGTCTCCTTCAACCTTACTAACTCACTTGTAAATTCTAGTAGCTTTTTATAGATTTCATATGATTTTCTACAGACAATTACAGCTACAGAGTTCTGGTGGCTTAGTGCCTAAGGCATTTGACTGCTAACCAGAAGGCTGGCAGTTCAAACCCACCAGCCACTCTTTGGAAGGAAGATTGGGCAATCTACATTTTTTTTTGTCAGGAATTCCTTTATTCTGTATCAAAATAATCCAATAGTAAATGTAGATTATACACTTTTATACATGTAAGTTATCTTTTTATGCTGTATCTTTCACCAGGCCACTTCCATACCTTATCCTTCTAGAAAGACAGTAGCATTTTACATTAGTTTTATTTAAACAATATGGCAACTGTAACAGACAAAAAGAAGCATGGAGAGTTTTTCCTTACACAAGCACATTTAAATTTCTTCCCATTACAAAAACATGTATTGTTGCTTTAGAGATAACTTCATGAATAAGGTCTTATGGTAAAAATCCAGGTAAAGTATCAGCAAGTATTTTAAATAAGAAATTCCAATGACTTAAAATGTAAGCCTGAACTAGATGTTTAATGTCTTCTTTATTGCAAATATGATATCTTTGACTTGAGGTACAAAGCTGTCTTCCACCATCTTTGCATAAGGCACAGGGACGTCGGCACCAGTGACACAAACTGCAGGAGCATCCAGGTAATTGAATGCAGGACCTTCCATGATCCTGGCACAAATTTCAGCTCCTACTCCAAACTGTGGCCAACCTCCTTCCACAGTTACAAGATGATTTGTCTTCATGACACTGGCTTCCATAGTTTCAATGTTCATTGGTCTGATAGTGTGCACGTTTACCACCTCACATTCCATTCCCTCCTTAGACAGCACTGCTGCGGCTTCTAAGCCGTGGCCAATAGGTCTTGAACGGGAAACCATGGTTACATGCGTCCCTTGCCTTTCTATTTTGGCTTTTCCAATAGGAATGAGAAAATCTTTTGACTGAGCTGCTTCAGGGAGTTCGAAAGGAACTCCATACATCAATTCATTCTCTAGCATCACCACTGGATTTTTATCCCGAATGGCTGATTTAATAAGGTCACATGCTCTGAATTCCAGAGGCTGACCATCTTTGAGCCTGGGCAGTGTCCATACCAGGCAGCAAAGCACTGTGAATGCTGGGCAGCCATGCCTGCTGAAGCACCATTGGGCCCCCTGAAGACTATGGGCACACACTCAAGGCCCCCAGACATATATAGTAGTCTTGGCAGCCGAGTTTATAACTTGGTCAATGGCTTGCATAGAGAAATTGAAGGTCATAAATTCACAAATGGGCCGCAACCCAGCCATAGCTGCACCTACGGCAATTCCAGTAAAGCCCATTTCAGATACAGGAGTGTCTATGATTCTCTTGTCTCCATATTTCTTCCAGAGGCCTTGACTAACCCTGTATGCTCCATCATACTGGGCAACTTCCTCCCCAAGCAGAAAAACCTTCTCGTCTCTTTCCAGCTCCTCATCCATCTCCTGATTTATAGCATCACAAACTGTCCCCTGCAGCGCCGCCGGCGCGGTCCGATGGGAACGCCTCCTCAGCAGCCCAGACACCTGCTGAAGGGGCCTCCGCACCAGCACAGATGCTGCTGCCATCTTGCCGGTGTCCTCCAGCCACAGCCAAAAGGCGGGCAATCTACTTTTGTAGAGATACTGCCTCGGAAACCCAAGGAGGGATCTCTAGGAGTCAGAACAGACTTGACTGCGGTGAGTTTGGTTTGAGTTTGGAATTACATCTCCAAATGAAGACAGCTTCTAGCCCATACTATTTCCAGTCACGCTCAGTTTGTGATCTAACTTAATTATGAGTAAAAAGTTAAAAACAAACAAAACTGAAACGAGAATTCACATTCTCATCAAAACAATCTGCTAGCAGCTGGGCCTCTCTTCACCTTGTTTTACACCTGCGCTATCACTAGGTACTTCTCTGTCCACAGCTTGTTGACCTGTCAGCAGCACCTGACAGCATCTCCACTGCTGCTGCCCTACTAGTTCAGCCCGTCACCATCTCTCATATGCTCTGCAACAGCTTCCTACCAGGCTTCCTGCTGCTAGTCTTGCTCTGACCTCCCTTCACCAATAAGCATTATCAGAGTATGCTTTCTATCACCGCTTTCACTAGAACTGGAATCTAGTGGCAGTGAAGAATCATCTGGAAAAAGAGATGTGTCACTGTTTTAGTACAGCCAAGAAAGTTATGACAAAGAATATTAATGGGAAGAAGGGTGGCTTGCCATTCTAGATTTAAAAATACATTAATGCCACAGCAAATCAAACCACTATAATAGAGGCAAAGAAACAAAAATATCAGAAGAACATAACATAGGCTATAGAAATAGAACTCAGGAATTTAATATAAGATACAAGTGGCAATTCAATTGTGTGAAGAAAAAAGTATTCTTAATAAATAAATGGTGCTTGGATAAGTAGTTATTTACCTGTTAGAAAAATAAAAGTTGGACCTCCTACTGCGTATTATATACTAAAATCTCACGCATATTGTATACTAAAATCTCAGATGGGTCATAAATAAAATTAATCAAAGTAATTGTATAAGCAAATCTAGAAGAGTATACATATAAACTAAACCAAATCAAACTCACTGCCGTCGAGTCAGACCCAACTCATAGCAACTCCTCCTTGGGTTTCCGAGGCAGTATCACTATGGAATTAGATTGTCCAACCTTCCTTCTAAGGAGTGGCTAGTGGGCTTGAACCAAGAGCCTTCTGGTTAGCAGTTGCATGCCTAGGCACTGTGCTACCAGAGCTCCTAGAGGGTAGAAAGAGCTTTTTATCCAATATAGGAAACAAAGAAGGTGTTCACATTCAAAACCAAAGTCAGGATCATAGAAAAATAATTCATATGACAGAACTGAGAAAAGAATTCACAGAAGAGTTAATATCAACACTAGTGATAAAAATAAAAATCTATTAAAAGTAGAAGAAAAGACAAACTCAATTAAAAGTGTGCAAAAGATAATCAGTACACAATCAATAGATAAGCTGATCCAAATGTCTGAAAAACACATGCACTGATTTTCAACATCATTAACCTTAAATAAGGGAATGCCACTTTACTACATTCAGAATAATCAAAGTTATAAAGCATTTGAATCAAGAATGCTGACAAAGATCACAGGAAAGGGCATCCTCAAACGCTGCTGGTGGAAATGGAAATTGTTAAACCATTTTTTAAAGCAATCGAGTAAAATCTCTTAAAAGCGAAACTAAAAAGTAAAGCATCTCCTAGGCAGTACTCTAGGAAATCTGTCCTAGAGAAAGAAAAGGTCCAGTGCATAAACACACAGCCGAGTACACAGTGGATGCCTATGATCACGTCGCCCAGGCAGAAAAACTAGAAAATGCAGATTATCACAAGAGGAATGGCTGAACCATGGGCACACCAGCAGCCATTTAAAACATAAATTAATAAAAAGTCATAGAACTTTTTCCACCAGAAATACGCTGTTATTTCTCCCATCTTACTGTAAATTTGAGCTCTTACTGGGTATTTGATTCTATAAGAAAATGCAGTTAATTTTTCTTTTACTTTTGATAAATAGAATTGAAATTATGTTTTTGAAAGAGTTTTTTCTTTCAGAGACCATAATGAAAATTTACCAGTGAAATAATTTACTTCAAAATAATAAGGGAAGGAGAGAAGTAGATGGTGGTACAGATGAAATGACTTTTTTTGTTTGAAACTGGCTGATATCTACCTTTAAATAGGTTTGAAATCCCCTATAATAAAAAATTGACAGAAAAGAAGCAACTCTTGACCTTATTTTCTTCCCAGGGGCTACTGCTTCATTTCTTTTCGTCTCTTGTAGCAAAACTCTTCCAAAGAGTTGCCTTTAGTCTAATTTCTGTCTTCATCCAACCTCAACCTGGCTTTTGTCCTCTCATACCTATCACCATCACTTTACTGCCTGTCAAGGTTACCTGGACCTTCATGTGCTCAATCCACTGGTAAATTGTAAGTGTTCAATAAAGTTGATCATTCCCAACTCTTGAGTATTGTTTCTTCATTTGATTTCCAGGACTCCACCTTCAGTTGGTTTTTTTTTCCCTATATTGCTTGCTCTCCCCTATCTCTTGCCTCTTAAATGTTAAAATACTCCAGAGCTTCGTTCTTGATCTTCCTCTCTACTATATCTACACTCACTTTCTCAAAGACTTTATCCAGTCTTACACCTTCAAATGCCTTTTGTAGGCGAATGATTCCCACATTACATCTCTAGCCTGAACCTCCTTCTCAAATTCTAGACTTGTATCCAGTTGCCCACTTAGCATCTGCACTGTAGTGCTTCTCAAACCATCTGTAAAGACCAGTTTTCTCCCAATCTATTCCAGACCAATACTTTGATTTAAAAAAGAAAAGAAAGAAAATGCCGCCGTTAACGTAAAATTGCTGTAAATTTTCTAAATGCTTATTTTCACACTCTGTATTCATCTCATCAAGAACAGATAACAAACAGTTTAAGGAAGGAACCACATTTGGAGCAGCATTGAGCTAAGAGGCATCTTGGACCAACCCATCCAAAACTGAACTCTTGCTCTTCCACTGGAAACCTGCTTCCACACAAGCCTTCCTTACCCAGTTCATGGCACATCCTTCCAGTTATTGAAACCCCAAACACTGCAGTAATCCCCGATCCTCTTGCTGCTGGCCCACAACAATCCTTCAGGAAAGCCCATTGGCTCCACTTTTAAAACATATATCCAGAACCCAACCACTTTTCAACACTCTGCTCTTGTTGTTATGCGCCATTGAGTAGGACCCGACTCATAGCGACCCCTCCTTGGGTTTCCGAGGCAGTATCACTAGGGAAGTAGATTGCCCAACCTTCCTTCTGAGGAGTGGCTGGTGGGTTTGAACCGACACCCTTCTGGTTAGCAGTCAAGTGCCTTAGGCACTACACTACCCTCGTTTTACCAGTCAACTCTAGCCTGGATTACTACAATAGCCTCCAAATGGATTCTTTGCTTCTAAAGCAAAACACCAAACTCAGTGCCAACCAGTTGTTTCTGACTCATAGCGACCCTCACCCACTGGGTCTCCAAGGCTGTAAATCTTTACGGAAGTAGATCGCCCAGTCTAATTTCCGCAGCAGCTGGTGGGCTTGAACCGCTGATCTTCCAGTTAGCAGGCAAATGCCTTAACTACTAAGCCACTAGAGCTCCCTTGCTTCTATACTCCACCAATTGCTAATCTCAGAACAGTTTATTCTTCAGCCAGCATCCAAAGTAATCTTTTCAACATCTAAGCCAGATATTACTGTTCGGTTCGCCGCTCTATTAATAGGTCGACATTTCACTTAGAACACGAAACAAAATTCTTACGATGGTGTACAGTGCCCTATGAGCTACCCTTCTCTGACCTCTCCTCCTACTCCTTCCCTTTCTCACTCAGGTTACAGCTTTCTTGCTGAATCTCAAGCATGCAAAGCAAGCGCCTTGTTACTGCCATCGAGTTAGCGCCAATTCACAGGCCGAAACCTTGCCCCGTCCTGCACAATGTTCATGATCCTTAGTATACTTGTGTTCATTGTTGCAGCCACTGTGTTTTGAGTGCCTTTCAACCTAGGGCGCTCATCTTCCAACATTCCATCAGACAATATTCTGTTGTGATCCCTAGGGTTTTTACTGGTTAATTTTCGGAATTAGATCATCAGGCCTTCGTTCCTAGTTCGTCTTGGTCTGGAACCAACCAGAGCAAGTGGTGGCCCCTATCACGACCCTTCTGTATGTGCTTTCTCTCGGTACCTCCCCGCCCAAGGTCTCGGGTTCCCTGGCGGCTGAGTTACACTACTCAATCTGCCTGAGCCATAGTCCTCCTTCAGTCAATGTAATGATCCTCATCAGGCCACAAGAGTCCGCGCTCACCTGGGCTGCCTTAGAGAAACTCGACATACTTCCGCACTAACAGAACCGTTCTTTTTCCAGGACCCAGGGCCGGTCCAGCAGCACCACTGGCACGGCGAGAAACGCATCTACTCAAGTAGGACAGTTCCTAGTTCTCCCAGAACTCGTCGGCTTTTCCGCCTTTCCTGGGTCCTATCCAATCATCTCGAAGGTAGCAATCTTGTCACGAAAAGAGAAAGTAACGCATCTATTGAGAGTATAACTCCTGAAAATACCCGCACTTACTGAAAAGCTGCGGAAATCCGACATAGGACACACAGTTTCCAGCCGACCTTAAGGGCTAGGAACCGGAAACGTGTCATTAGCGCGCGGCTGTTTGGAATGTGGTATCCGAGACGTTAATCCCGGGTGTCGGCTCTGAGCAGATGGATCGGTACCTGCTGCTGGTGATCTGGGGGGAAGGCAAAGTTCTGTCGGCGGCCAGTGGGGAGACGCAGCTCGGACCAGGAACGCCGTGGGTTGGGGGCACCGAAAAGCAACCCGGTAAGCGCTGGGCTAAGAAAGGGCGGGAACAGCTTGAGAGGCGGGGAAACTTGAGTTTGTGGTCAAGTTCTGTTTGAGTTGTTCCAGAAAGCTACGAGTCAGTCTGGATAGATTTAATAAGGGATGAAAAAGTGTCATCATCTCCATGGAAAACTAGGGACGAATTTGTGGTTGCAAGATGCCAGTGATCGGAAGTTACTGGCACGGTAAAAATGTAACTGATGAAATTCGTCATGCTTTGGTTTTGAGCATTCTGCTGTTTGGAAATTAATGCACTCACTAAGTATGTCTACCGCAATAAAATTTCAACTGGATACATTCCGTGCACTTTAGTAAAGGAAGTTCTGCTGGTTGGTAGGGCATGCTTTCCTTAACTATTGCTATCTCCGTGTTCCAAATGCAGGTAATGCAGGAAAGAGTAAGATGGAACAGGGTGTTGCTCTCCTAGACTTTCCATTCTCATGGGAGGAGACAGCCCACAAAGTTAGTTCAGAAACAAACATAAATATAAAACAATTTAAACTGTTTGCGATTGCGCTGGTTTTTGGTGCTCCTGTCTAGACTCTGTATGAGCATTTTGTGAAGGAAGTATCTGGGATAGGTTTCCCTCCTTTCTTGTACTCTTGGAGTAGTTTTGGATTTGTGTTAAGAAGCTGGCATGTGCAAATCAGGAACTTTCTATCCTATTTTCTCTGTGCTGCTTTAGGTTTCCTGTAGCAAAACTCAACCAGATCTTGGGTAGCATGTAGTTTTTATGTGCAACATATTGAGAGTCTTGAGAGTCTCTGGCAGTGAACTTGGAGTAAGCCCAGATTATGAACTCATTCTATTAGTCTGTCTTTTGTTTTTCAGACTTAACAGCAGCTGCAAATGTTTATCACCTCCTGAAAAGGAGCATTAGTGCTTCAATTAATCCAGAAGATAGCACTTTCCCTGGTAAGTATAATGTTTTGTTGTTAGTTGCAGGCAAAGTGGCTCCCACTCATGGCGACCTTATGATTGTGATGCTGAACAGTGCATGGTGCTGTGCCATCTTCAAGGACCCCTAGTGGCATGGGGGTCGAGTCGGCCCCGATTCATAGCGACCCTTCCTGGGGTTTCCAAGGCAGTATCACTACAGAAGTAGATTGCCCCATCTTCCTTCCAAGGAGTGGCTGGTGGGTTTGAACTGCCAGCCTTCTGGTTAGCAGTCAAGTGCCTTAGGCACTATGCTACCAGAGCTCCTGCTTGAATGTTAGAAAGTTGTTATGAAAAGTGCTCTAGAACCTCATCTTGAGTTTCTTTTTTCCCATTATGAAATTTACCTACCCTTCTTTGGATGCAGATAAAATAGGGAAATGTGTCAATATTGACAGATTTATAATTATATATAATTATAACAATTTATATTATTGTTGCTCTTTCACCCACTTTCCTATTAATTTATTTCTATCTTTATTTCTTACTCATTCTCTTAAAAGTATTCAATAATTGTTAAACACAGTGGGCTTTACACAATTCTTACTTGCTTTGACACTTTTGAAATACCTAATCTCTGTTGGCATTATACAAATCCATCTAGTTACTTCTTTAATAGTTGTCTTCTCTCTTATGTCCTTGCCTTGTGCTCTATCTGAGAATGTCCTTCAAAGACTCAGAAAATGGAGATGCCCAAACAGACCAGTCTCTGTAAGCTGAAGGAAGTATCTGGAAAGGCCCAGAGGAGTGTGCTCATTTTGATAACTTTGTTCTCATGACTATATAGCCAGTTGCTTTCTGTCTTGTTATTTCATTAGAGAACCTCTTGCCTCTTGATTTTAAGCATCATCTTTGAGAAGTTATTTCTAATATAAACTATGCATGTCAGCCTTGCCAGATGGAACACACAGGAATCAAATTGACTACATCTATGGAAAGAGGTGATAGAGAAGTTCAATATCAGTCAAAACAAGGCCAGAAACTGACTGTGGAACAGACTGTCAATTGCTCATACGTGTGTTCAAGATGAAGCTGAAGCAAATTAAAATTTAAGTGCACACGGGAGCCAAAATATGGCTTTGAGTATATTCTACCTGAATTTGAAGACCATCTGATGCATTAAACACAAGTGAGAGAAGACCAGACTAATTGTGGGATAACATTAAGAACATCATACATAAAGAAAGCAAAACGTCATTAAAAAGACAGGAAATAAACAACCTAGATGTCCAACAACTGAGGAATGGATAACCAAACTTTGGTACATTCACACAATGGAATACTATGCAACGCTAAAGAATAATGTAGAATCT